GGATGTTAATAGAGTCTGATTGAATTTTATTGACTTTTAGAGACCGTTTATTTCCTATTATATTTGCAATCTGTTTAAGTTGGTATATGTTGTACCCATTTTCCTTAAACATTTGAATAAGGAAATTAATCTCATCTTGTAAATATAAATTACTGCATAAAGAATAAGCCCTGTGATTGTAACCTTTAAATATTGCATTTAGAACCTTAGGGTCATGATTTGAGTGATGTTTAATTTGGATATTAGTTATGGCTTCCTTTCTGTAAACTTTAAACTCGTATTTTCCTTTGTTGTTGTTTATTATGGTTATATCGAGGAAGTTTAGAGTTTTATTTTTGCTTTCAGTTACAATCGTATATTGTATTGCAGGGTGTTGTTTGTTCAAGATAGTTAGGAATTGTTCTGCTTCTTGAGTGTTGGAAAATCTAGCGTGACTATCGTCGACATATCTTAGATAGGATTTTAGGTCAAGAGAAAGATTTACTGCCATTGAAATTGTGAAAGCATTTTGTTCATGATGTTGTAAAAATGATTCTGCAAGTACGTCCATGAATGAAAGACCTATAGGACCAGAATTCTCAAGTTCATGGATTTCATTGTTCCAAATGAAATAACAACGGTGTAAACAAAGCTCTATGAGTTGTTTTGCTTCAGACATAGTAAGTTTGGTAGAACATTTGTAGGAATCATCTTTATTTAATTGGTCTATGAGAACTTTTATTGGGGTTCACAGTGGCTTGTGAATTTCAACTCTAAAAAAACCCAGTTGCTTACTGCAAACAACTACCGTAATATGGTCAACATTCCTATATTAATGAATGGCAATCCTCTTTTTGAGTCCTCCTCTTTACGTCTTCTTGGATTATCGCTTACTACTGACCTTTCATGGAAACCATATATATAATCGATTGCTAAATTAGCTTCTGCTAAGGTTGCTTCTCTTTATCGTGCTCGCCATTTCCTTACTTCTGATTCCATTCTCTATCTCTACAAATCTCTTATTCGTCCCTGTATGGAATACTGTTGTCATATTTGGGCTGGTTCTTCTAACGATTCACTTTCTCTTCTTGACAAGGTCCAAAAACGCATTGTAAATGTTGTTGGACCTGGACTATCTGCTAAGCTTGAACCTCTTTCCCATCGTCGTAAAGTTGCATCTCTTTCCCTTTTCTACAAATACTATGATGGTCACTGCTCAAAGGAGTTATCATCTCTAGTTCCATCAACTTAAATTCATTCTCGTTTTACTCGCCATTCAGCTAAGTCTCATTTGTTTACTGTATCTGTCCCTGCATGCTCTAAAAACTTTTATTCATCTAGTTTTTTTCCCCGCACTTCAATCCTTTGGAACTCTCTCCCATCTTCATGTTTTCCTGACTCATACAACCTTAAACTTTTCAAGTCTTCTGTCAACCGTTTCCTTGCTCTATAACTCTGTTCTTTTTTTTCCTTGTAACATCCAACTTAATAGTGGTTGTTGCAGCCTTGTTGGGAGTGAATGCAAATAAAAAAAAAAAACAAGACTCTGATAAGCACTTGTTAATTAGTTTTAAAAGGTTAGAAGACAGTTCCAGAGAACAATTCTGCAAGACTATAACAAGTATGTTTTCCGGACCGCAAGCTTAAGAAGAATCTAAGCATCTCTTAGGGTACAGAAGCTGGAATAATGCAAATATCAAGCAATGGATGTGATTAGTTGAATCAAGAGATAAGATTGATGAAAAGTTCTTAGCAAACAATTCAGCTTTGTCTTTAGGTGAGGTAACAAAATCTGAACTATGCAAAAGAGGTAGAATAACATATTTGGGCTTATTATAGACACTGTTTAAGATTCTCCAGAAGTCTCTGAAGCCTAATTTTTGAGATAAAATACAAGATTATGTAACCTGAGAATAGTGGGCTTCGGTGTAAAACAATAACTTTTTAAAAATGGTTTCCAGCAATAGTAAATAGAAGTCTATTTTCTAAAGAATTGTTTTGGCAATAGATATGGAAGCAATGGTTAAGATTGGAAATTGCAGCAGCACAATGAGAGGAAAACCATAGAGAACAATGAAACTTGACTTGAAATTGTCGAAAAGGAATAAAAGATTAAATACCAGGCTTTTTTCCCAGAAATTATATAAGAAGCACTTTTGTGAGCGTGAAGACAAAATATTTCTACCTAAAGGCCATCACAAAGAAAATCAAGAAAAAAGTCCTAGTCAGCTTAAGGTAGTTAGTATAGGGTACAATAATTCAGGGATTTTGATGATGAAAAAGAATAAGATAACAGTTACAGAGAAATCATACCTTGATCAGAACCTTAGGAAGAATGTGCATAATCTGACCAGAACTTGGATCAGAAACAAGTCATAAGTCAAGTAGAAAAGGTAAATGATTTGGATTGCCAGGAAAACAATTTGGTAATTGACTATTTTTGTTAAAGATTATAAGGCAAATGTTGTGGGCCTTGAAATCTGCAGTCACTAACACTAGAACCAAGCCATTCAATGTGATGAGCATTGAAGTCACCAACAACAACAATATTAGCAGACAAATAAATAGAAAAGACTTGGTCAATTTAATCAGAAATAACGTCGAAAAGGGTGCAGTCTGGAGATGAAGGAGAGTGATATAGAACAAAGAGAAAGGTGATAGAATAAAGTGATGCTAACTAAAAGCACATAAAGAAATAGTCTGTCAATTTACTAGTTAACTAAATGGGTAAATTCTCATGCTTTTAAATTCCCAAGCCAAGCATGTGACTGTTGGAGTCTTTACAAATTAAAGAAAGATAACAATCAACACTAAGATCACAAGATGAGATAGCTAAACTCAAATTAGTCTAACAAAGAGCAAGTAGGTCTGGTGAATTTTGCAAAAGGTAAAACTCAACAGAGGAAAAGTTACTTGGAAGACCACCAACATTAGTGAATGATGGATTTAGAGAGCTTGGTGATGACAATGGTTTTTTGTGTTCTATAGGTTTTGTTACTTTAGTCATTTGTTAATTTAGTTAAAGAACTTAACTCAAAGCACAGGTAGTACTCAGTACACTATCTAATAGTTCAAGCGATTTCCTCATTACTATCACTAAACTTGCCTCAAACTTTAATTAAAAAATATACCATAATAATAATACCTTAGTCATATTTTAAAACATAATATATCATAACATGATATGGATTAGGGGTGTACTGGATTGGAAATTTTGAATTCCGGACGAAAACGGATTTGCCGGAACTGTTGAAAAAATTCTGGCCAGAACGAGATTTATATTTATCTAGTTTATATATATATATATATATATATATATATATATATATATATATATATATATATATATACACATATATATATATATACACATATATATATATATATATATATATATATATATATATATATATATATATATATATATATATATATATATATATATATATATATATATACACATATATGTATATATATATATATATACACATATATATATATATATATATATATATATATATATATATATATATATATATATATGTGTGTATATATATATATGTGTATATATATATATATATATATATATATATATATATATATATATATATATATATATACATATATAAATATACATATATATGAAATATTTATTGCATCAGGCATCCTATACTTTTTAACTATTTAAAAGTTAAAAAACATTAAAAATGAGATTATTGTCAGAGAAAGGTAACATTTTTGATGAAAAAAGAATTTGTTGCCCAAAACTGGATAGCAACTCTTTTTGCACCTCAATATTCCTAAACTGTTAAAAATCTTTACATAAGTGATTACTGCAAATAAAATTAGGCAAAGCTTCGGATATGCGGTCTTAAAATAATTTGATTTTATCGCTTGTTGCGCTTTCGTGTAGAGCTTAAAGTGGTGACTTTTTAATATAAATATAAAGAATATTTATTGGCTTTAGTGCATACATTGACTATCATATAGCCTGCTGCTACAAAGAAGTGCTGCTACTTCCATTATAGTATAGCCTGCTGCTATAAAGGAGTGCTACTATGTCCATTATTTTATAGCCTGCTGCTACAAGGGGGTGTTGCTACATTGACTATCTTATAGCCTGCTTCTACAAGGAAGTGCTGCTAAATTGACTGAGGATTAGGCATAGGGCAGCAATCTTTTTTGTTTCATTATTTCAATTAAAATTTCTAATGTCTAAAAGCTCTCCACTAACGAGAGCGCAACAAACGAAAAAAAAAAAAATTATTTTAGAGTGCTTAACTGCAGCTTTGCAAAATTACATTGTATTTGTTAAGAATTTTGTATTTTTTACCTAGGTTAACCCATAGTTCTTCATTGCCTTGTAGGACAATGATTTTTTGATTTAATTTACACAGTCTGTGTCGCATGTCTTAAATAAATTAAAGTAAAAAATAAATTCCGGAATTCCGGCCTGAATTATTATAATTCCGGCTGGAACCAGAATGACATAAAAGTCACAAATTCCAGCCGGAACTGAATTCCAGTACATCCCTAATATGGATATAAAAAAAAAGATAAAAAATATAAATACTTAAATAGATATATTGATAATGAGCTTTAACATGTTTTTAAACCTGTAATGCTTATGCAATGCTTCCTTGTGGAACAGTTTAAACATTAGAACATATGACACCATCAATTCAGCTATAACAAATGAGCAAAAATGTTTTTTGAATATGAAAAGTATTACTGTTAAGGCTTCCAACCTTTGATACTATCATATATAACTGCAGGATCAGTTTGAAGAAAAAGCTTGTCATTTCAAAAGAAATACTGAAAGAATTAACAAAATACTAAGATTATCTGAATAATAACTTGTTACAAATGGTGAATTTTTTAGTTGTTTTTTTCAAAATTTAATTGTATCAAATTACTTATTTTTTTAGTGTCTTTTTTTTGCACATGTTGTTTCCAATAAATACATTAACAACAACAACACTAAAAACAACAACAATAATATATAGACATTATTTATATACCATTTGTTGATATTGTTCTTTATCATAACCATTAGATGACATCTTGTATGCATCTTGAATTATCTTATATGAGTTTTTTCCTCCTAAAACATCACTAGAAATGTTGTCTGAATTTCGTTTGTAATCTTCACTATTTCGATAATTAAAATCTGAATCATCTATCACAACTTGGTGATAATCGTCATCAATTTCATAGTAAGGATTCTGATTAAATCGTCCTTCAGTATTTTGTGATTCAATCATTTGTAACCATTGAGAATTATGCCAACGAAACTTTTCAACTTGAATTCGTACTTTCCCACTCTGAATCACACTCCTACGAAAAAAAAAAAAAAAACACTTAAAACTTCTATATACAACATAAAAGAAAAAAACTTGCAAATATATATATATATATATATATATATATATATATATATATATATATATATATATATATATATATATATATATATATATATATATATATATATATAATATATATATATATATATATATATATATATATATTATAACTTGATCTTTTTAATTTATAATTTATAAATGTTTATCTGTATCACCATTTTATCATTAAAAAACATCAAAACAATTTTAAAAAGAATTTCAAAATTTTTACAACAAACATTGAAAATCTATAATTTTTAAAAGAATCTTACTGATGCAAAAAATAAAATTTAAAATCCTAGATATCAACATATTTTTAATTTACAATCCTCTAGATTTCCCACAATCCTCTATATTTCTCGCGAAAAATATGGGTAGGCAGTATCTAATTATCAAAAAAAAAAAATGTTAAAAAAAGAAGAGAAAGTTTTATAAAATGTGAAAAAAGCCTAAAAAGAAAAAAAGAACACATTTTTTTTACATCTGGGTTCAAACTTTTAGTGCTTTTAACTACAAAACAAAAAACCTTGTAATTGGCAATTTAAATATGGTTTGTTTAA